CGCGGTCCACGCGCGGCACTTCCCCAAACTATGGCACCGCAACCGCGACGCCCAGGCGTCGGCACCGCAACCGCGCACTTCTCCACATCCACCCCTCGGGCCAATAACGGCCCTGCGTCCGCAGTGAGCCTTGGCCGGGCACCGTCAATCGTAACATAACATCACACTGGGTTTAACGCCCATGCCACGTGCACTGGGATCCGGTCGCCAAGGTAGCCCCCCTGTTTACCTTCTCTAGGTTCCATCTCCCCCCCTCACTTCCACTGCGCTAAAACTCGCAGGATTTGACAGCCCCGCCCTGAGTGCAGACGACCATCTTTCGGCTTGCTTCGCGCGCCCCCCAAAATATTCCACCCCCCCATCTCAGGTCGAGGTCGCTGCCCCCCGTCCTCGGGAGAGCCTCTGGATGCATGGCGCGTTCTCCGAAATCGGGCAGCGCCCCGTTGAACCTCGCATGAGCCGTCTTTCCGCCGGCGCCAATGGCGAACAAGTCGATGAGGGTAAGGGCGGAGGCAACTGACCAAGGCATGCAATCCCACGCTTTTCCCCGAACTCAACCCATTGACTGTCGCCCGCGGCGCTCGTTGACATCCTGATTGAACCGCCCATGGTTCCCGTCGCCATTTCGACTTCACCTCGGCGCGCGGATCTCCGACAGAACTGAATTCCGCTCCAAAGTGTAGGCCGCGCTAAGCTTCAATGGCCCCCACGAGCGCCGCGATGGATGACGCACCATCGCTTGCAAGGAGGCCCCTCTCGCGACCGACGAAGAAATGGTGCCCCGAGCTAGTTAATCGAGTCATGGCCAAGCACCCTCGCATGTGAAACGCGGCGCCAGTTTAACGCGGTACCCCAGCAGCGCGCGACGACAATGGAGTTCCGTTTTCCTCCCTCTTCACCGTCTCCCATTTTGCGGCATAACCAAATATGGCAAATTGAAATCACAGGTGCCCCACTGCCCCCCCGACCCCACCCTGCGTCGACGCGCCCCCCCCCCCCTCCACCACCACCACCACCACCACCCCACCCTGCCTTCCATATTGCGAAAAAGAAGACACCGACTTAGACATGGTAGATGAGTTTGGGTTCGCAGCTAGACTTTTATCCTTTTGGGCGCTCCAGCCTCATCCCGTGCGAACGCATCTTCGACGTCGCTTCAATCGACGCCCCCGCCCTCGCCCTCTCGGTCGCCCCCCCGCATTCACGTCGACTGGATTTGAAACCGGGCCCACGGGCCCCCCCGGAATCACTAGAACAGGTACGCCACGAGCACTCCCTGCCTGGTGCAACCCTCGAATCTCCACGAAATCCTCCCACCCGTCGCCCCCTCTCAACTAGCAGCTCCTTCCAGGGCTCGGACGGCGAGCTGGGCGACGCCGTTCTTCTCGTACTTCGCTGGATTTTGCCCGTTGCCTCGCGCTCGAGGCACTGGCTGGGTAACTCATCCATGTCTCGATTTTAGACGCGCGACCCCATGTTTCTACTATTTCGCGCGCAGACCCGAATGCGTTGTTAACGTCGGCGACCTTGATGGGCATGCCCCCTGTAGATCTTTCTTCGATGTTACCCACAATTACTCGTCGCCCACGGCTCCTGATACCCGATCCATTGGCCGCGCTGCAACGCCCGCCGCCCCCCGCAGCCTCCGCGGGTTCAACGGGGCAGCGGGTTCCCGCGCTCAGAGGCCCAACCGCGCCGTAGCCCCATTTTCACTCGCCGTTGTTCGGCGCAGTTTGGCTTCCAGCTTCCCCCCCCCCCCCCTATCACGCGCACTGCGATTCGGTTGCCCCGGTCGGCGCAATGGCCGCAGTTAACGCTGCGCCCCTGCGGTGCACGCCACCTCTTGATAACCAACTCTGCCCCCCTGCTTCCCCCCTTCGACCCTGGGCACTGCACCCTCCACCCCTGCGCCCCCGCGACCGGCCCCGGCGCATCGACGCGGCCGATATCTTCGCCCGCGCCAGTGGTCTCGCCCATCTTGACATCGTAGCATCCCAGTCCAGGCAGGGGCTGTCCCAAAAAATTTCCGCGGGCTCTCTAGCGCCCCCTGCCCCCCCTGATCTGAGGTGACCTCGCTGGCGCCCCTGGGGCAGCCTGCTGCGACGTGGCCATTTTCGCCGCAAATGTAACAGCCCCTGTCACAGAGCGGCACTAACCCTCCCATACCTCCTCTATTCCATCCTGGCGCCGGACTGCCACGGCAAGCTCCTGAAGGGCCCCCCTTGCAACCGCCTTCGACGCAAGCCCCTGCGCGACCCGCAGCACATTAGAATCCTGGCGCCCTCCTTTGTAGCCTCCTACCTGCGCTCCTTTGTAAGTCCAGGCACCTTTGCATTCCCCTGTTCCACCTCCTTTCCATGTGGTGGTTCCTTTTCGCGGCGCAGTCTTCGGCGACGTGCCCATGTCCTCCACACTCGTGGCACATGGGCCCTTTACCATTGCCTCTCCCCTTGCAAACTTTGTTCGCGTCGCCGCCCCCATTGCTTTCCCATTCTAGGTACGCCAGTTTCCACCCTCGCCATAAAAATCGGATTCGTTCACGTTCGTGCTCCACTCCCTGGCATTTTCATCGTGCATTCGGCAGATATCCATGGAGTCGTTGTTCTTGCCGTCGGCGTGAAGTATTGTCTAGGTGGGTGTCAATATCTAACGATTCTGGCGTCTTGTAGCCTGCTGCCAGTCGCCATGCCAATCACCTGCGCGGGTCATTGCGATGCTCAAAGCAGCGACCCTGCACGGCAAAGGTACCAAGCATGCGCTCCCGTACTTCTCAAGAGGCTCTAGTGGCGCACTCCTTTCTTGGGTTTTTTTTCTGGATTCATGGCCAGGTTCACTTTTGCGTGAGAGTGCGACCCCTGTGACGGCCGAATACCATGTATTTAATGTCAGGTGCGCCAATAAGCCATCCCCCCGATGCAAACCCATGAGTATTTCCCGTGGCTCCGTCCCTTCCAACGTTCTCGAACAACCACCAAAGATCCTGGTCCAACTCTGCGTAATGGTATTCATCGAGCTCGTACCATCCTCTAGCAACACCTTCTTCTTTCCTGGTTGGTGACGCTGTGGTGTATTCGCTCAGGGTTCACCTCCCGCTCATAATCTTTATCAGGCCGTCCTCTACGTCATCGCGTACCGCCCCATCCATGGTTTTAGGTTTGTTGTTCAAATATTGAAGGGTTTTCCGACCAACGCGCTCCAGTTGGGCACGCGCGTTCAGCAACTTCTCGTCTCACTCACTGAACTTGGCCCGGTCACCCAAGAGTATCTGTATTGGTTGACCGGCCTCGTTCTCTCGCTGAGTGGTTCGTTTCCACTTCTGGACCTCGCGCACCCAGCGGACTGTATAGCTCCACCGATGTTGGTGACATGTTCCGAGGCGGTCGCTCGACGTTGGAATTATGTCCTCACGTGTTCCTTCAAGATGTTGAGCTGTTCCTCGCAAGACATGCTACGGCTGGCGACCGATACCAGAAGGGCATTTCTCAGCTGTCAGATCGTGAAAGCCTCATCGTCGTCAACCGTCCTGGCGCTTAGTGTGGCGCTGCGCTCGAAGAACAGCCTCGTCCCTGCGTGATTGGCCTGGAGAGCGGTGATAACATACCTGGGATCTCCGTTCTCAGAACCGGCGTTGCACAGTTCCGCGAATGGGTTCGTGCTCAGGTTGCGCCAAGCCTCCCGGGCATCAGGTAACATTACATTGTAGCCCGGGCCGTGGCTGCCAGGGTCCACTGAGGTCGCTGCGGCGGCCGCCGCTGCCATCCCTGCACGGGAACCCGCGGGGCGAACAAGCGGCTCCGCTGCCACGAAAATCAGGTAGGAAGCTGTTGCTGAGAAGCAAGATGTCATGAGCCAAATACCAATGGGATTGGGAAAACATGCAAAACAGTTACATATAAAAAAACAAAAAAACCTACCATCCTCACCCAGCCGCGCGACCATGTTCTAACACTACCTGCTCCTCCTCCTCCTCCTCCTCCTCCTCCTCCTCCTCCTCGTCCTTCCCCTCCTGCTCCGCCTCCTCATCATCATCAGCAGCATCATCAGCATCAGCATCAGCATCAGCATCAGCATCAGCATCAGCATCAGCATCAGCATCAGCATCAGCATCATCATCATCAGCAGCAGCAGCATCATCATTATCATCATCATCATCATCATCATCATCATCATCATCATCACATCATCATCATCATCATCATCATCATCAGCAGCAGCAGCAGCAGCATCATCATCATAATCATCATCATCATCATCATCATCATCATCATCATCATCATCATCATCATCATCATCAGCATCAGCATCAGCATCAGCATCACCATCATCACCAACACCACCACCACCACCATCATCATCAGCACCATCATCATCCTCGTCGTCGTCAACCTCAGCATAAGCATTGTCATCATCAGCATCATCAGCATCAGCATCAGCATCGTCATCAACATCACCATCACCATCATCATCAGCATCAGCATCAGCATCAACATCATCATCGTCATCATCATCATCATCATCATCCTCGTCGACGTCGCTATCATCCTCAACATTAACAATCTGATCGTCCAACCGCTTGTCCTCCTCCACCATCTCCTACTCCACCCGCTCCACCTCTCCCTCCTCCACCACCGCATGCAGGAGGAAGGAGGATGAGAATGGAGAACGGAGGAGCGGGAGGGTCCCCTGTGATCTTCAAAAATGCGAGGGGGGGAGCTCTAGGGGTTCCTGGGGGGTCCTCCGCGACCTCCTCCATCCTCCTTCCTTCATCCTCCCTCTCTTCTCCCGACTTCCCCCTTGCTCCATCATCCCTCTGCTTCCCTTCTCGAGTCGAGGCAGGTGGGAGGCCCAGCAGCTGGCCTTGGTTGTATAGTCCGACTGCTCAGTACTCTGTCTCCGTATCCTTATCATGCTCATTGTGCTTATCGTATCTCCCTGCCTTCCCTCCTCTCTGCCATCCCCGTCTTTCTTATTCACCCTCAATCGCTTATACGTCGTATTTCCTCCGTGCTACTCCTCCCATACTTTCTGAGAATATCGGGCGCTGTTGCGCAAGACGGGCTGGACTCGTCCTCAGCCTCCTGCTACTCCATCGTGCCTGAGTCGAGGGTGACAAGAGGACCGGGTGCGTGTTTCGGAGAAGGATGACGTGCGGCGACATATTCAAGCCTGGGTCACCCAGGCACTGCTTAATGACTGTACTGGTACAAGATATAAAGATCTGATGCGGCGGCCTTTGGTCTTATGCCAGACAGCACCCCGTTCAGTTCATGCTGTGGTAAGTCGGCAGTCCGCCGAAGCAGTGTTATATACAAGCGACTTGAGACCTTTAGTCCCATCTTCTCATCCAGCAGGGAGCGTGACCTTTTGTAAATCGACAGCCCGCTGGTAATGGCAAGGTCGAGTAAGGGCAGATCCCTGACAGAACTCCCAGACCCATCGCCGCCACGAACTCAGATAACGACGCCGAGCGCGCTAAGCCTCGTTGTTCTCCGGCAGAAACCAGAAGAGCGTTGCCACCACCAAGTAGGCGATCATCAGCATGAAGCCTTCGAGCCAATTCGTAGTCCCATCGGAAACCACGCTGAACGTGATCAACACGGCCATCATCATGATCGTCGTGTGCAGCGCCCCCAGATCCAGATCCATGGGCTGGTCGATGGCCCAGCCCACGATCACGGCAAAGGGCACCACGAAGAGTGCGATCTGCGTCGAGGAGCCGACGGCGATGCCGATGGTGATGTCCATTTTGTCGTAGACTGCCATGCGCACGGCCCCCGCGTGCTCGCAGGCGTTTCCGACGATGGGCAGCAGGATGACGCCGATGAACCCCTTGCCGAGGCCCCAGCTGTCGACGAGCCCGTCGATCGAGTCCACCAGGAACTCCGAGGAGGCTGCCACCAGGCAGGTGGTGACAAAGAGCAGCCCCACAGCGACGGTCGGGGAAAGCTGAGCATCCTCCTCCTCCTCCAGAGGGCCCAAAACACTGTATTTGACTTAAAACGTTTGGAGGTTCACCCGGATTCCTTGGGAACCTCGGAGCCAGAGGCGCCGCCAGGGGGGGGGGGTCTGACCCGGGAAGTCCGCCCGGAGCTCCGGAAGCTCATGCTTGCGCGGTTTGTTGCTCCTCGGCTCCTCCTCCTCGTCGTCCGAGCCGCCCTTGAACACGTCCGCGTGCGTGTAGAGCTGGAAGAACAGAAAGGCGACGTACGCGGCCAGGATGTACACGCTGCACCAGCGGGAGATCTGCAGCAGCCGCGGCGTGCTGCCCGCCGCGAAGGTGCCCAGCTCGGAGATCTGGGACTCCATGTACTCCCTGCCGATCTCGTCCTCTGTCGGAGATCCCTAGAATGTGAGTGTGTGTGTGTGTGTCTTTAGCGCCAGCGTGTGTGTGTTGTCCACTGAGACCTTTCAGTACTCGGGGATGGACAGACCCCCCTTTAGTAAAACGTGGTTTAGTGAAAACGACCTGAGGCCCAAACCTGGCGGGCGCAAGCCTGGGAAATAGCGGCCACGGCGCCCTCTCGAGAACCGAAAACGGACAATTCACTAATCGACGTGTCACTGCTGGGGGTTCTGTCCACCCCCGAAGTACGCCGCAGGCGGTGGAATGACCTATCGGTGGAGCTGACCAGGGCTAGCAAAAATTGGGCCAGCACATGCCATGAGGATCGTCGGCTCCGGCGGCGGACGGAGATCGGCGGCGAGCCCCGGGGGAAGCGAGAGGCTGCGAGCAGGCAGGCCTTCTCGGGAGGCGGCGGGGCCTCTCCGAGGCCCCCGCGCCCTCCGAGCAGTCCTGCAGGCCTCCTGCCGAGGCCACGGGCGGCTTCTCGGCACGAGCGAGGGCCTCTGAGAAGCCCCGCCGCCCTCTGAGGAGGCCCGCCCCCCAGCGCACTTCCCCCCTGGGGCTCGCCGCCGAGACGAGGGGACCGGGCAGGCGACCGCCGGTGAGCGCCAAGCGACCACCCCACCGAGCCCGTCGGGCGGGCGGCAGCGGGGGAGCGATGCGCGCAGGGGGATCGAGAGCTGCAGCACTCCCAAACTGCCACCCCGGGTCCAAAAGGTGCACGGAAGGCGCACGTGTCGCCGCGCCGTTTGCTCTGAGCGCGCCCAAGTGGCCGACGCCGACACCACGGCAAACCCACAGCAAGCCCCGTGCCCCGCGTCCACGTAGGCGAGGCCGTCACGCGGCAAGCCCGCAGCGAACCCACCGCGCCCGAGGCGGCGCTTGCCCTGGTGGCCGCGGCACCCTCCCCAAGACGTAAGGCCGCGCGTCGGAACAAGCGGCGCAGCGACACTTTCTTGCTCCTCCTCCTCCTCCTCCTCCTCCTCCTCCTCCTCCTCCTCCTCCTCCTCCTCCCCCTCCTCCTCCTCCTCCTCCTCCTCCTCCTCCTCCTCCTCCTCCTCTCCTCCTCCTCCTCCTCCTCCTCCTCCTCCCTCCTCCTCCTCCTCCCCTCCTCCTCCTCCTCCTCCTCCTCCTCCTCCTCCTCCTCCTCTTGCTCTCTTCCTCCCTCCTCTCCCCTCCTCCTCCTCCTCCTCCTCCTCCTCTCCTCCTCTCCTCCTCCTCTTCCTCCTCCTCCTCCTCCTCCTCCTCCTCCTCCTCCTCCTCCTCCTCTCCTCTTGCTCCTCCTCCTCCTCTTGCTCCTCCTCCTCCTCCTCCTCCTCCTCCTCCTCCTCCTCCTCCTCCTCCTCCTCCTCCCCCTCCTCCTCCTCCTCCTCCTCCTCCTCCTCCTCTCCTCCTCCTCCTCCTCCTCCTCCTCCTCCTCCTCCTCCTCCTTCCTCCTCCTCCTCTCTCCTCCTCCTCCTCCTCCTCCTCCTCCTCCTCCTCCTCCTCCTCCTCCTCCTCCTCCTCCTCCTCTCCTCCTCCTCCTCCTCCTCCTCCCGACAGGGGCCATTATTTTGGTCCCAGGACAGCGTCCACGCCTCCCTGGCCAGGCCAGGAGAAGGCGCATACAACCGATCCCGGGGCCAGAGTGAGCCCGGCCGAGATCGGTGAGCTGGTCAGTGGGCATCTCCACTCTCCGAATCCCCGCCCCCCCCCTCTCTGGAGGAAGAGAAAACGCCAGAAGCATGAACTTTCTGACTACCTACCAGACCACCCCAACCCAACCCGAAGACCCGAATTTCGGGTTGGGGGGGGTACGGGTTCCACATGTGTTTTCTCGATGTTCCACGACCCCCCCCCCCACTGGAAATCGAGGATAAATTGGGACCTTCGGGTTGGGTTGGGGTGGTCTGGTGGGTGGTGACTTTCGGCGCTCCGCGTGGATTTCTCGGATCCGCGCTGGACCCCCCCCCCTCCCTAGCGCGCGGAGCGGCGCCGGAGGCGCCGCCAGGGAGGGGGGCCCAGCGCAGATCCAAGAAATCCGCGCGCAGCGCCAGAAGTTTATGCTTACAGTCGGGGCGTTGACCTAAGGAACCCTAAATAAGGAACGAGGCCCCTTTCTTCCGCAAGTTAAACTTCGATTTCCCATCGAAAACATAAGGAAAACCTGAGGCAAGCTGTGAAACAATTAAGGAACACGGAGCCCCTCCCCAACGAAAAGGGTTCCTTCTTCAAGACCCCTACTGTGTGGCGTTTCCTCTTCTTCGAGAATCCCCGCCCCCCCCTCTCGTCCAGCCCGAGTCCTGCGAGAAGAAGACCGCGGGGAAGGCAAAGGCGGAGCACGCCAGCAGGAGCATGGTCATGTTGGTCAGGGCGGCCTGGGTCGAGAACGTCTGCTCCTCTCGGGCCGGGCGAAAAATGGGGGGATAGCACAGGGATGGTTTGAGCATCAGCTTGAAGGGGCCCCAGGACACACAAACAAATACACACAAACAAAAAGATTCCCCATATGTTCGAAATATTTGTTTGGTTTTTTTCTTCCCCCACACTTCCCATATTTTTGCATATGTTCCTGGGAGTCGGCGAATAATTGTGTCTGTGTGTTTTTTCCCCTCCTGAGAAATGGGGGGATAGCAAAGGGAGGGTTTGAGAATCAGCTCACGTGGCTGATCTTCCGCGCGCCTCCCGGCGCCGGGAGGCGCCCATGTATATCGAGGAGTGGGCCCGGCGGCGGGGCGGAAACCAGCTGCATATGCAGCAGATTTCGTACCCCCCCCTTTCCCTACAGTCGGGGCGTTGACCTAAGGAACCCTAAATAAGGAACGAGGCCCCTATTTTCTATAAGTGGAACTTCGATTTCCTTTCGAAAACCTAAGGAAAATCCCAGGCATGCTGCGAAACACTTGAGGAACACGGAGCCCCTCCCCAACGAAAAAAGGGTTCCTTCTTCAGGGCCCCGACTGTATCTCCCCCTTGCGCTCGGGCCGGTCCTTGCCGATCCTGGAGCCCTTGGACGGCGTGAGCCCCCCCACGAAGAAGGACATGCCGAGCACGAGCAGCAGGTTCGAGAGGATGCTCCCCAGCAGCGTGCCCTTCACGACGCCGATCTGCCCCGCCCGCAGGGTCTGCACGGTCAGGATCATCTCGACGGCGTTGCCGAAGGTGGCGTTCAGCAGGCCGCCCAGCGTGTCGTTCTTCAGCCCGGCGGCGAGCTCCTCCGTGGCGTCCCCGAGGATCTTTGCGAGAGGGACCATCGCTAGGAAGTTGAGCCAGAACTCCGGGATGTCCCCCCAGTCGTGGAAGTGCGCGAGGCAGCCCAGGGGCCAGGCCACGAGCAACAACGAGATTGGGTCCCAGAGCAAGTTCCTCAGGCCCGCCAGGTTCCCTGGAGGCGCCGCCTTGGGGGCCCGGAGCCCCAAGGGCGACGCCTTGGGGGTCAGCAGATCGGTCGACGATGTCCCGCTGGCGGCACTGCTGTGCTTCACCTTCAGCGCCTCCTTCTTGGTCTGCACCAGGCTCATGGTGCAGAGTGGCGGCTCGGGCGCGCGCGCGCAGCTTCGGCCGCGCGGACGGCGGCGTCCAACTGGACATCGAGCCGATAGCGACAGCGATAGCGAGAGGCAGACGAGAACAGTCGGACAGTCGGACGATCCCGAAGGAGCGGCCTCCGCGCGCCGTGTTGCGGAGGCCCCCCGGGGGGGCAGGGGGGCACCGCCGCGCAGGTGGCGGATGCCCGCCATGGGCGCAGCGCAGAGGTCGGGGAGAGAGCGCGGCGGGGGGGGCCCAGAGCCCGCGTCGAGGAAGGCGCGGCCGCGTGGAGGGCTCGACGGGCGCAGCGGAGGAGGGGTAGAACGCTTTGCTCGGGAGCGGCCCAGAGGGGGGTGTCCAAGAGGGGGGGGGTGACGGGCCGCGTGAGGGCTCGACGGCGCAGCGGAGGGGTAGAACTCTTTGTTCGGAGGGGTGTCCAAGAGGGGGGGGGGGAAGGGTGCAAATCGTGACCAGCGGCATGTGCGCGGCCCAGCGGGGGGGGGGCCAGGGGCGCAATGGAAACAAGAGGAGGCGCCCTGAGATCTGGGGAAACATCCTGGCCCACGCCATGACATCAACCCCCCCCCCCCTGGTCATCCCCCCCCCCACTGTTCCGCCCCCGAGTTTTGGGCACCACAGTCTGTCCAACAAAGGGAAGGGAGGGGGAGGAAGAGGGGGGGGGGCAGGGTGAGGGCGCGGGCGAGCGCCGAGCGCTCGCGCCGCACGCAGAGCCTCCCTGCCCGAGGGGTCGGCGCGGCGGAGGGCGAGCGAGGCCCGGCTGGCCCGGGCAGCGGGTGCTCGTGCCCGGCGGGGCGCCGGGCGGGGCGCGCAGCTCGCGTCGTGGGCGCCCCGACACTGGACACAATCGCGCCGCTCCACCATCGAACCGTCAGCGTCCTTGACATGTCTTCTGCACGCTTTTCAAAAAAATGTGCGCGGGAAGCTGCATGCATGCTGCAGCACTCGAGTGGCATGCTCGAGACGAGCTTCAGACACATCTGGAAATCATCTGGCAGCGCGCGCTCCACCATCGAACTGTCAGCGTCCTTGACGTGTCTCCTGCATTCTTTTCTAAAAAAAAGGTGCGAAGAATGCCGCATGCATGCTTCAGCACTCGAGTGGCATGCTTGAGTGCGGGACGGGAAAATGACCACAGCCACTGCTTCTTGTTTGCGCCGCCTTCCAGCCGGCCAAAAAAGAAGCAGTGGTTGTGGTAATTTCCTTGGTGCCAAGCTTAACGAAAATGACCACAACCACTGCTTTGTTTCTGCTGGCTGGAAGGCGGCAACAAAAGAAAAGCAGTGGCTGTGGTCGTTGTCACGTCCCGTATTGAGACGAGCTTCAGACACATCTGGAAATGATCTGGCAGCGCGCCCTCCTCTCCATGGATCGTCCTCCGCGAGGCTCGCGCGCACGCCGCCTCGCGCCGCGCGCGGCGCGCGGCGCGAGGCCTCCGGCGGCCCCGCGGGAGCGAGCCGCGGAAGAGAAGGCCGCGGCCGGGGGGCCCCCCGCGCGGGGCCTCGAGAGCAGGCGGGGGCGGCGGAGCGCCCCGCAGCCCCAGCACGTCAGCCGCAGCAGCAGCAGCAGCAGCCGTGCGCAAACCGCGCGCGGACGTCCAGCTCCGGGGCCACTGCTCACTTCCAGCTCCCCACGCAGACGTCACAGTCGCCGGCACGCACCACCGCCGCGGCCAGGCGGCGAGCGCCGCTGCTGGAGCGACCGCTGCGGAGCTCGTGGCGGCACCAGCGTGCAGGGCCTCGCACTGGAATTCGGTGGGCGGCACGGGCCGCAGCTATCGTGTTTGCTGCAGCAGCTTGCAAGCCTCACCTGGCACCAGGTCTCCGTGGCACGGGGTGCGCGCGTTCGCCGGGCACGATCCGATTCGTCAACGAAACCGAGCGCGGACATGAATTAGCCGAGCACAGTCGCGGAGTCGAAAACGGATGGCACTATTGAGGGAGATACCAATACACATGACATGCGGAAGAGAACATGCGAGTATCGGTTGTGTGAATGGTGCAACGAAATGTGGTGCGACCCCAGGACCCGAACGCAGACATCCCGTCGCCATTGTCCGCGAGGCCCCGAAGTCTAGGCTCCCCTCCTTCCAAGACCCTATCCTACGTCGCGGTGTTTCAAACCTGCTCCGTCACCCCATACGCCAGACTGGGACCTGCTGTGCATTCCGAGTCCTTCTTGACGGCCCCAAGGCCCCAAACCGCCCCCCCCTCCCCGAGGCCGATGCTGAGGAAGAAACGCCCGCCGCCGCTTTGTCGCAAACCTTGACCCCTTCCTACTCTCGGGTCGGACGAAGCGGGGGGGGACGGCAACGGGACGGTCAGCAGCTCACACCAGCTGGCTCTCCTGGCGCAGGAGGCGCCAGTGCATCGAGAGGGAAGCGCTCGGCGGTGGGGCCGAAACTAGCTGCATGCGGCAGATTTCGCCAAGCCCCCCCCCAAGCTCCTCCTCTTCCTCCTCCTGCTCCCTCCTCCTCCTCCTCCTCCTCCTCCTCCTCCTCCCCCTCCTCCTCCTCCTTTCTCCTCCTCCTCCTCCTCCTCCTCCTCCTCCTCCTCCTCCTCCTCCTCCTCCTCCTCCTCCTCCTCCTCCTCCCCCTTCCGCGACCCCGCCACCTTCGTCAGACCTTCCCACCTTCCCACCTCCGGAGCGGCAGCGTCAGGGGGGGACAGGCTCAGGGGGGGGAAGCATCGACCTGGAGGCGGCGATACATCGCCGATAGATCGGGGCGACAGGCCAACGATTGCAGATCCGAGCCTTCCTGGGCAGGCGGGGGGGCCAGGGCCACAGTCGGCGATCGATGGGCGATTGGGGCGTCGATACATCCCCACCTGAGCATACCCCACCCTCACGCTGCCCCTGACCGAGGGCGGCGAGACATAGACACATCCACTGCTCCTGGCCAGGCCATGTGCAGTGGATTGGCGCAGATCGCGGCGCCCGATGACTTCGTTTCCGGGGTCACTCGGCTCTCTGGCGGCCGTTCGGGACGAGCCGCCCCCCCCCCTGGAAAGTCCTCGGCGAGGCGCACCTGCTGGAGAGCATCCCGAGGCTGCACAACCGTCAGGAACCGTCGGAACCGCCCGAAGACCCACAGTCAATCCGTATCACAAGGATGCGCGGTGAAAGGATGCAAAGGTTGAGTCGGGCCTGTCCCCCTACAGGGGAGTTTTGGACGAAAAATAAAAGATACTCAAAAAATACCCCCAAAATGGTCAAAAAATACTCCAAAAATAGTCCACACACTATTTTCTTACTATGCTTGGACATTCCCCCTGGTAGAGGGACAGGCCCGACGCAGTGCAAGGGCCTTGGAAGCCCCCCTCGAAGCCTCCCCAGCGGGGCGAGGCGCCCCTCCTCCGAGCACGGCCCCTCGTCCAGCCGCGGGGGCCGCGCGCGAGGCGCCGCCCCGGCCCCCCGCCACCCCCGGACAGAGGGCGAACGAGCAGCAGAAACTCGAGCAGGGACCCGCCGCCCTGGCACTCCTGCATTCGGGTCGGGCGAAAGGGGGGGATAGCAAAAGGGGGGGGTTGAGAATCAGCTCACGTAGCTGATTTTCCCGGCGCCTCCTGGCGCCGGAGGCGGCTATGTATCGAGGAATGGGCCCCTCGGTGAGGCCGAAACCAGCTGCATGCAGCAAATTTCGTAACCCCCCCTTTCCCGATCCCCCCCTTTCGCCCAGCCCGATACATGTAGGGATGACGATTCATAAAAAAAGGGGAGAGAAAACGATTAAAAAAATAGTCTTCTGCTATTTCTGCACAAGCTTCTGACTGGAGGAGAACGACCAAAAGAATAGTCTTCCAGCCCGCGGCCGGTCTTTTCTGATCGTCCTCCCGGGCGCCGCCGCGTGAACACGACCCCCGGTCATTTATGAATCGCCATCCTCCATTACATGTAGGAATGAAAAAACGCCCCTGCCCTGGGTTACCCAGTCCGTGGTCAGTACACCTCCTGGGAGCTCCCACCGGCCAGAGAGCCGCCAGGACGCCGCGCGGCACGCGCGAGACGCAGGGTTTGCCCTGTCAGTCCACAGGAGGTTCAGCGCACAGCGCCTCATAAACCAGGGTAGGGGCGTTTTTTACGCCCTTGACTACAGTCGGGCCGGGCGAAAGGGGGGGATAGCAAAGGGGGCGTTTGAGAATCAGCTCACGCAGCTGACTTCCCCGGCGCCTGGAGGCGGCCATGTATCGAGGAACGGGCCGCTCGGTGGGGCCGAAACCAGCTGCAGGCAGCAGATTTCGTACCCCCCCCCCTGTCCCAATCCCCCCCTTTCGTCCGGCCCGATACAGGCCTGCCACGAGATGTTCTTAGAACCCCAAAACGTCCTAACAACAAAGACAGTGCTCTTAGAATCTGAGCCCGATGTGTAAAAACAGGACAGTCTCGGCAAGAAACGGTCTAAGAACACTTCGTGCAGACCACACAGGCTTCTTGGAACATTCTCTGGTGGGCCCATCGGCGAGCCCGGACGCTTCACGACTGCTCGATGACCATCAACTGGTGGAGCTCCGCGCGGTTTCCTTGGATCTGCGCTTGGGCCCCCTGGCGGCGCCTCCGGCGCCGCTCCTGGCGCGCTCCGCGCGCCAGGGGAGGAGAAGGAGGAGGAGGAGGAGGAGGAGGAGCAGGAGGAGGAGGAGGAGGAGGGGGGAGGAGGAGGAGGAGGAGGAGGAGGAGGAGGAGGAGGAGGGAGGAGGAGGAGGAGGAGGAGGAGGAGAAGGAGAGGAGGAGGGGAGAGAGGAGAGGGGGAGGGAGGAGGACTAGGAGGAGGAGGGAGGAGGAGGAGGAGGAGGAGGAGAGGAAGATTCGGCGCCGATCCAAGCACTCCGCGCGGAGCTCCAGAGGTTGTTCGTGCCGGCTTTTTGCTCCGAGGGCGGCGCAGGCGGCCCGCGCCTCCGGGCGCCCCCTGCGCAGAAAAACCGGGCGCCGCCGCCGGACGCGGCGCGCGCGCGCGTGCGCGCGGTCCTCGGGGGAGAAGCAGGGCATGCATGGCAGGGCTCGGCCCAAAGAGTGTTTCCCATCTCCGCTGCGTTACCGGTTTC